AGAKAGTGAGGAATTCTTTGGTGTTTACAATCCAGTAAACCCAAMATTCAAATGTGTTGAGACARACAGCTCCACTACACAGTGGTGGTTAGGAGAGAAGTTACATARTAAATKTTAATTCATTGATTGAATGTTAAGCCAATTCCAGTCCTAGGGGCAGAAATTTTGAAACTAGACGATCATGGATCGCTTACGTGGACTTCCTRTAGTTRTGACAATKGTCAACWGCYGCCATTAAGTTATACGTATTTCATTTTCACGATAGTCACGATTTGATTGAAATAGTTCAGGACAGAATTCAATAAKTTACATCTTTATTACATCTTAATTTTTTGCCGAACTGAACTAAGTACTACTCGAGCCTTYSMTTTTTTGTCCTATGATTTACATTCATGGCTTCTAAACAAACCAGCTGGTCACAGTGAAGCCGTAGATATCGCGATCAGGTCACGAGGCCGACTGACGTACAAAACAATACATGTAAAAATGAAAAAAAAGCGCGGATTGATTTAGTTTTACATCCCCATGGAAACTGAGACTGCAGACCATCTGGCAACGCAGGCGCTACCAATTTGAAGCGTGATATTCACGACGAAGAAAGTCCAGACGTGGTCTTCGACAGGAAGCCCACGTAATGAGGGGACAGGCGCAATTTATAATTTTTTTTTTTGGCCTTTCTGTACGTCTGAATTATGCAGATCATATGGACATTCATTTTAAATAGGACTTTCCCAAAACGGGGGATGCCGGACCTATTGGCACTCTCCCCCTTGAGTCTAGAGTAAAAATCACAATGGTTTCCTCCTGGACTATAAACTGTAATCGAATGAACGAAAGGTAACTCTTGATATATATGTCACTTTGAACAGTTTTTTCGTGTTTAATTCTGTTTGGTGATTACAAGCACTAATGACTAGGAAATGAAAACTCTGTCAACAATTGTAAAAAATGTCAGGTTTCACTTATCAAAAGTCAAATTGTATTTATTGTAAATATTTCGTGTACATAAAGGAACTGTTCTAAATCCCATTAAGGTTGTGTACTTGTTGTATTGACTACACAACAGTAGAACATGTAAATCAGGCTATATCTATCGATGTAATAATGCAATATTAATTATGATTAAACTAATGATTAATTAATTATCGTTAATGAGAAGAGAATTTAATTAGAGACGCGAAGAAGCACTGACAAATCTGGTTTAATATTTCTTATCATGCATTCATATATAAGCTTTTAAATTATTTTCATCCATTTTTAAAAGTTGACATTTGTCAACATATATAGTTCAAAACAAGTGCTTAAAATCTATAATTCACGTAATTCTGAAGAAGGCTTTATTTTCAATTTGTACGGTTTTCCTTGACGTGTAGAGCTGTGTCAGCTGTTGCTTCGACTTTAACTCCTCTTAGTGCCTTACAAAGTAACACCCTTAGATATTCCTTTCTGAACTTAGGGTTCATTATACCATAAATAACGGGGTTGACTGCACTACTAAATGAAGCGAGGAACGTGTAAACGGTATATGCTGGTCTGGRAAGACTGTAATCCCCTCTGACGGTATCAATGAAATCCATGATCAGGACTGGCGACCAACAAGTCATAAAAACTACGACAATTACAAACAATGTTTTGGCTATCTTGATTTCTTGTGCGCTTACAGTCCYATCTCTTGAATTGAGAACTGTTTTGTTATGATGTTGTACCGCTTKAAAAACTCTGAAGTAGCACATRAAKATTACRCTTGTTGGGAAACCAACAAATACGGTTACCAGAAATATAGCAAACCACAGCGAGTCCACGCTCACATAGCAGAAAAACTTACCGGGATTGAATATGAATTTACTCCCCGAGGAAAGATAAGGAATCGGAGCAAGAAGAGATAAAGTCCATACGCTCGAGATAATGTAAGTAGTCTTTTGCTTAGTGAAAAGGTTACGGGACTGCTGCGGCTTTACGACGCTAAAATACCTATTAATAGCCATCCAGGTAAGATTYTGCGTCGATGAAGCGGCCATTAAGACAGATATGAACCCCTGATATTGACATGCTGCGTCTCCAAATGACCAGTTCGATTTTATAAGAACTATTAGGAGTAAAGGCATCGATAGACAACCCATTCCTAGATCCGAGAAGGCTAAAGAAACAACGAATGCATTTGGGATAGTTCGAAGAGATTTGGATTTCCACACCAGATATACAGTGAGACTATTTCCAAACACCGTCCCAAGATAAAGTAGTCCAAATACTAGACTTTCAAAGACTATAAGCYCGGTGGGTCTTGATTTAAGKGAGATRTCAAGGCGTTCAAGACTTCCAATCGCTGTTGTGCCATTCATGATGAAACGTCAAGTATACCGTAGAAAGATAATGGCCCCAGTTACTTGAGCTGATGAAAATTGTTTCCCTTTTTTGTGAATGATATAAGGTGACGGCACCTTACCAATTTATGATCGGATACAGCCAATACGTAGCGACAGCTGAAACAAGACGAGAAAGACAAATATTAAAATAAATCCCATTGAAGACCTCTGAAAWATAACACATTGCTGAAACTGTCAAGCACAAATGACATGACAACAGAAAATTGGCAGTGGTTTTGTATATTTGTATTTGGTTCCATCTTGTTACATTCTTACCTAGACTCCGAAAAAACATGAAAAATCGCTTTGAAATAAAGTATATTTTTATGAAAATATGTAACTTCCTTATTTATAATTGGAGTTTTAAATGGCGGAGATTGTTATATTTACTCTGTGGGTCTTCAAGTGTAATAGGGGAAATCTCGGATATCGCGATGCTCGACTGATGTCCACTGAATTCTTAGACCTAATCTGGTACCTAAAAAATCTTGTTAAAAAGTGAGCAAGTGATTCCTTCCAGGCTCTTTTTAATATTAATACAAAAATGTGTGAGAGTAATATATATWTTTTTTCCGGTARATTGTCACCTTGCTTAATTCAGCTTACACGAAAGCGCAAACAAAAATTACCCGAGCGCAGTTGGGATTCTCATTTGATTTTAAGTTTTTTYCAMGAGAACYAAATGAACGMAGCTCACCTTAAACYATCCTCTMGCTAGTATCAAACGAGTTATTAATTATCACTCAAAGAATACCGGTTSTGCGTTTTAATTTCCTTGTATTTATTTTTCTTCGTGGTTTTATTATTTTTTGTATAACACAAGCAAACAGCAGTCATCATTGGTTGTTGGCATCGGACCATTTGGCTAACGTTTTGAATATATAATCATTTGCGATGCGTTTGAAACTCAAAAGTAAACTAGATGATATCTCTATAGTCGGTAGCTCTTAAATAAACTCAAAAAAAAAGTCATGACTTTCAAAAAAATAGTTTATATTCTGAAATTAATGATTATGCAGTATGCGTGTCGCCCTTCCCCTTGATTGTATCATAAGATGTTTTAAATGATTTTCTTTAAATTATAATGACTTTTTCAATTTCGTTTGCCATTAATTACTATGATTTCTGATAATTAAGTTTGTCGATTTTAGTAGTTCCGATTACGAGTATATAAATTTATAGTGTAAAGGTGTACACTGTACTTACTTTGTTTTTATGCTTTTTTTTAATCGCACGTTTGATATAGTCCGTTCTGTATTCCTCTGTCTTGTTTACTATGTTGCAACACCTATTTAACATAGTATTTTATTATGGGAAAACTTGGGATGGGAATGATTGCCTAGAGATAAAAAAAAACTGAATCAAGAACTGACGTCCATCACGATCCAATTGCATATTTTGCTCTTTGTACGCACTATCAGTCATTTTCCAAGATTCCCGCAAAGTGGTTTCGCTTAGTAATCAATTTATATCGAGCTAAAAGTATATTTTGATGTACTTTTTTACTTTTTAATCTGGAAGCCCCCTTGGAATCAATTTTTTGAGCTCTAATTAGGAGTAGTTCAGCTTTCTTGAGGTTTATTTGAAAATTTTAATTGAATCCAATGTGAATAAGTATACTGTACTTGCGACAATCGATATTTACGTTTTACGTTGCCGTATTTACATACGTTGCTTCCCATATTATCATAATGTGTTTGAACTTCATACAAAGAGAAAGTATTCCTTAATTGTCCATAATATGGTTTTCGGGAATAACAATCTATAAAATAAATAATATCAATATTTGATATTTTTGAATGCCAAATAATTAAAATTTACTTAAAATATTTGAAATATTATTTGAACTCAATATTGAAATTGGCAAATTTCTATTGAGCCGCCATCTTGGATGATTATATTATCCTAAAACTTGCAGGCCGAACCTTCGAAAAATTCAATATATATACATATAAATATACTTTATTCAGTAGGAACTATAAAGACATAGATAAGTCATTGAGGAACTTTAAGCTGAATTTGCATCATTTTAACAGTACTATATAATATATAGCCTTTTTAAAACTTCTATATTATTGATATTCAATAATTTTCCAAAACTGCATCACCATCATTAACTTTAAGCTTCTGATTGCATACACTAGAGACAGCAAAAACATTCACACAAAATACACTTAGTTTAATTGACCATCATGCAAGTAAATTAACATAAAATGAGCAGGACGATGCCCATAACACTTTTTATCGTCTTCGCGCGCRAAGATGGCGCCAAATTTTAAGTAACAATTATAGGCCTCTGTGAATGGYTCAAAATGAACTATCTCTTGTCGCTGTGTCGTAAGGTATCACATTAATTACGTCTTTTTCTTTTCTTCTTTTAACGGAGTATCTTTTTCCCTTCTGYTTGTTRCACGTTATCACAGCAAAGTACTGTCCGCGAAGTGTAGTGTTCATAATACCGTAAATGAACGGATTTATTGCGTTACTGACCGTAGCAAGGAACGTATAACAGCAGTATACTGTTCTTGAAAAGAAGAGTTTTCCTTTAAAGGTGTCTATGACGTCGATGATTAAGACTGGTGTCCAACAAACAATAAACACAACAACAATCACAAACAATGTGTGCGTCGTACGGATTTCTTCAACGCTAAGTGTCTGATTGCGCGCTCGTTGCTGCGAAATTCGCTGATTGTTTTTGTTGACAAGTTTATAAACTCTGAAATAGCACCAGGATATGATAGTTGAGGGTACACCAACGTAGACAATCACTAAAAGGGCTGTAAACCATGCAACATCAATGCTYAAGTAGCAGAAAAACTTCCCTGGATTGAAAACAAACATATTTCCTGCCAGAACGTAAGGAAGAGGCGCAACAAGTGAAGAAGTCCAGATTTGAAGAATGATGAACTTTATTCTGCTAGCAGTGAAGASTTGATTAAATTGTGTAGATCGACAGACTCGATARTASCGATTAACCGCAGTCCATGCAAGTGTTTGAGTCGATGCTGCMGCTAGAACAACGGCTATGTACCCTTGGTACTGACATACTACTTCCCCAAAAGGCCAMTSTGARGTRATTAAGACTAYAACCAGCAAGTGCATCGATAAAAAGCCCATTGCAAAGTCCGATAARGCAAGCGATGCAATAAAGATGTTTGTTGAGACGCGGCGTAGAATAGGGCTCGTRAARATKATCCATAAAGTTAAAAAGTTACCAAAAAGAGTCGCTATGAACATAACTACATAGATTGTACTYTCAAACACTAYCMACCCAGTRGAACGAGCTCTGAGTTCTTCTCCTAACACACCTATGCAATTCGTTGATCCATTCATTTTCAATGCGTTAATKAAATGAGAGCAAGGATCCGGAGTCTTGACAATTCTAGATGAAAGTGTGATAAGGGATCTTTCGGCGATGACAATCGATGGAGATCCTCCTTTTTTAATGATTTCAGCTGTCCTTTTGTCATGTGAAGATGAATGTATGGCATCAGTTGAATGAAAAGACAGACTGTTAAATGATTAGTAATGAACACTTTTTGATTCGAAGCAAGGAAGCAGTTGAATTTTTCCACAAAAAGGTTTAGTTTGCAATATTTTTAAAAAATAATATCTCCCGCGCCCTGGATTTAATAAGATGAGAAAAATTTTAAACAAACGTCCTTATTAGCACTTGATTTCCTTTGGAGGTATAAACAATACAAAGATTAAAAATAATGAACAATAAAAACTAGAAATCACTAACAATTTAAGTCAAAATGGTACTGCAGAAAATCAACCAAACTTCGTTTTTCGATGAAAATTCATTTTGTCAGACGACTAAATACTAAAACGTACTTACCCCTACACCCCAAGGTTACAGCATTAAAACCCGCAAAGACTATCAAATGAACGAATAAGAAATTCCGTTTCTAATGAGCAAAAGAGTCAAAATAAATCCTTTTTTCATATTTCGCTTTCTATATGAGACGTTTTAGATGTCAATTTGACATGATTTGATGTCGGTGTTATGTTCTTTTACCGAAATTAAATCGCTATATGCCAGCTCCCACATGTTAAGCCAATTACAGTAAACCTTGACCGAGTATTTACTTTGATAGAATTTTAAGTGTGAAATATTGTCTTCTGTTTGTTCAATTTAATTTAGTTTAGTTTAATTAAGTATCATCCTGTTGTAGTTCTTTTGCWCGGTCCATTTTTTACAATCTGTTTTTGTTTCACAATCTTYCYTTTWWYAGTACGYATACGGATAAAAACTCCGAGTTAAAATGCAGGTTTTCACTATTTTGCCCTCCAAAGCTGATAACCAATATTGACAGCAAATCATTGTAAACATACTTCCCAGAACAAATCAATATCTTTCATATTTTATTACTTTGAATAAAAATGATCAAATAGCTTATTGTATTTTCCTTTTCTCTGTTTCTTTACTTTGCCACCTACTCTATTCATAGATAATCAGGAAACAGCTGCTGGGGCTAGATGATCATTTCCAACATTTCCTCTAACGGAAGATAACAATTTAAAGCCGGCATTTATAAAGGGTAGMYCTTCACGGTTTTGCAATTTGCAAGCTCTTATCCGATTGGTTTACTWGCTATTTRTTAAATAAAAGAAAACAATAGGATTTAAKAACGAGGAAACAATGAGCATTGTTTTATTCCTCCAATCACAAGTAACCTTACAATTGCAACTTGYGAAGGATAACAGYATGGAAACTAGCGATGATACTWGGAAAGTTGATTTTGTACRAATGATSRTCCTTTGTGCGAATCAACATTTTCCTTGCTAAGAAATACACGCTTKTTTCATTTGAAATCTTTATTCATTTCTTCATTTATGTGTTTATTTATTTCACCATTTTTACCTTTGTTTATTTATCTATTAAACCATATTTATTCATGCTAGCTAGACTTTTGGAGTTTCAGATATATGAAACGTTTTTACCATTTATCTAGCTATCCATATTACGCCGACTATTAAGACTTGTTAACGTTTCTCGGCCAATCACATACTTGTATTTCTTCATTATACAAGAGACCTTTTGGGCAATTCATCTTAAAGGTTCTTTCATTGGCACAAATGATAAATCCTGAGGGCTTTAATTTATCTGGGTAATGGCCATCCCTTTTCCCAATGCAGAACCCTGTAGATTTATGAAAAGTAAAAGTCAATAATGAGAATATATGTGTATATCCATGCCTTGGATGTGGATATAGTAGAAAAGCTATGACTTCTGAAGGCACATATATAAATGTCAAAGGCGAACTGACGTTTGAAATAAAAAAAATCACAATATAATTGTGTCATAACTTTTCTAAAGTCAATGATATTTCAAAAGTAGGTTCATTTCAAAGATTATCGAGAAGCAAGCGGTAAAAATACGTACCACAAATATTTACCATATTCTTATGGTCAGCAACACATTATAAAATCKATTTATTCACARTTTTATCACAACAAAACGCAAAACTGGCTCGTAATGCTAACAATAAGAATATAATATACCATTGAGGGTTTAAGAAGATAAMATGTGGATTCTGAWTACTAGTTAGAGTACACCTACTTGGCGATGTAGTTGGTTTCCCGCTTGGAGAAGTAGTTGGTGTTACTGGTGGTTTTGGCGTATACGTAGTTACGCCAGGTTTCTGCGTTGTGGTTCCCTGTGTAGTGGTTCCCTTTCCAGGTTTCTGTGTAGTGCTTTCAGGTTGAGATGAAGATGCCGGTGGTGTTGTTGGTGTTTGTGAAGGGCTGTTTGTAGCAGTTCCACTTCCAGTGGATGGGGCAGATGTAGATGCTGTTGTCTTCTCTTCCTCTGGCTTATTGGTTGGCGAGACTGATGTTTCATTTTTTGGAATTTGGCCAGACGGCGTTGACTTCGCATCTAGAATACAATACATGTACATGAAAAAACAACAAGGCAACAACAACAGCAACAGCAGCAACAGCAACAACAGCAACAGCAGCAACAGCAACAACAGCAACAACAACAGCAACAACAACAACAACAACAACAGCAGCAGCAACAACAACAACAGCAGCAACAACAACAACAACAGCAGCAACAACAGCAACAGCAACAACAGCAACAGTAACAACAACAAAACATGTACATGTTTGGTTGATACTTTGATTGGCTTATTAATTAGTTCATTCAATTGTATGGTAACAGTTCCACAGTTGGTAAATTGCTTTTTGTCTCAGGATTCAAAGTAGTTTCTTTGCTGGTAGGGGAATTGTTCGTGCCGTGTATCGATGAATTAGTGATTGCATTCAGTCACGTTTTGTGATCATTTAATAGGCTATGATATGTAATTATACAATGCAAAGAGTGATAAGTCCGTACAGATGACAATAAGAAARTTTTTCATRTTTGTTTACCTTGGGTGACTCCCCCCTGACCGTAGCATTTTATATCCTSAGGACTTGCATCTGCATAAAGATGGTATTTTGAAATTAGAAAATTAACTAAAGGTATAAGTGGACTGTTATAGCAATTGATGCTCCGATAGTCAATGGTATTTGATGATGGAAATGGCAATGGGCACGACAARGGTGATGAAATAACGAAAAGATTTTCACTGATAATCAAAGAGCACAACTATAGATAGCACTAACTGGACTTAAATTGTAATCCATACCAGCCGTGAATCCAGAAAACTGAATCTTGGAAGGGATATCAACATCATTCTCCAATTTGTCAATGGTAGTTTCGAGTTGTTCGTTGGAAATACTCGTTAACCTCACTTTTATAGGGAAGTTGATTTGACCGAGACCACTGATAATAAAATGATTATTTCCACCACGTTTCATGCAGATCCATTTGTTATCTTTTAAAATCTCCAAACCAGCCGCAACAACTCTGATAGATAGAAAATATAAAAGAAATAAAAGAAGTTTGAAAAAAAACTGCAAATAAACGGTCAATGAATGATTGTAATGTCAGCAACAAAAGAAGAACAGAACAGAACAGAACAAAACAAAACAT